CCGCAACAAAGTTATCGAATGATGAAACTGTCATGACAGTCTACCTTTGTATATGCATCCCAAACATCATCATCAGCTACAGTCATATGTTGCGTTGCAACCAAGGAAAAGCCCTTTTGTCTTAGCAAAATTGTTGTGTCACTATAGTACTTCAACAATTTCTTGTATCGATGCCTTAATACCCGTAAGCTATGTTGAGGTCCAAATCTTCACTAAATTTGGCAAGCACAACTGTCCGGGATTCTTTGTTGAATGTATTATCATCAGTCTTATCGCCAATTACTACTTGTTCCAGCATAATGTCAACGAGTTACTGATCCATTTCTAGTGACCGTTCTGTCCTTCGACGCTCGCTACTTGAAGGAGCAAGGCTGCCCATTCCATCACCTACATATTGAGGAATGATTAAGTTGACATCTCATTATATTAAGACAGTCATGTTACAAAATTCGGATGATTAGGCCATCGATATATGTTTTGCTTATCTTATGACTAACATTAAGCAGATCACCTACGTGCAACAATGTCTACCATTTTGAAGATTGACCAAGAACTTCTTCTCAAGATATAAAAGAATGAGTTCTACATGCTTCCTGATCGGCTCACCAAGCACGAGAACAGCACACTTCCAAACATTAGCCTCCCGACACTAGTCTTGTACATTCCAACAACAAAGCAAACCTTGGTCTTAGGTTCATGACAAGGAAAGGATACAAACCCGTGGTTACTCCTTGAACTACATCACAAAGTCCTCGTCATGGCTTGATCGACTGTGCCTTCCATCAGCAGTTGTATACCCATAAATAAGGCATAAATCGTTGAAATTCAACACTGGTTCAGTTTGTGAGTTAGAGAGCAATTTGGAGAATCACTCCGTTTGTTTTGGGTTCTCTACTTGTTTGGTTTAGGGTTAGTAATTTGTGAGATTTGGATTGTAAGAGTTTAAACACTCTTTTGTAATCTCCAGTTTGTTTAGTGAAACTCCTTGCCATGCTTCGCCCGTGGACGTAGGCTTTACGCCAAACCACTTTAAATCTTTTGTGTTCATATTTTTGAGATTATTTGTTTATTCACTTTCGCCTACTGACGTTGATATTTAGTATTTTGTTAAAATGCGCTTCCATTTGCACATAAAAGTTCAACAATATTATCTCACAGTTACAGAACAAAACAGAGTTTTACAAATAACCAAGAGTCGGGAAGGAACTGCACCTTTATATGTAAGCATTCCATACGTATTCATCGGCAACCACCATCTGACGACTTTCATCCCAAGAAAATCCGTTCTGACCAAGAATACTCTTCACATCATTGAACTGCTTCCACAAAGTCGTATACCGGCTTTTCAAAACATCTTTGTCATAACGAGAGCCAAATTGTGCATTAAACACGCTGAGCGTTTCGGTCCAGGCCTGCTTGTATTTGGAGGAAGGGGTGACGCTTGTGCTAGTCTGCTAGATGTAGCGGCGTCTTACGTTTGTTCCCCTTTCTTCGAGTGTTTATTTTGATGTACTTGTCATCTTCGTCTGACTATTTGTATGTTTGGCTTCGGCCATGGTTACGAAGTTTCCAGTCTCTAAAAACCGTTCCATCGTTGATGTCCAACATGTACTCGACCGATCATTATCTCGTGCCGCCGTTTGGCAACTCATTTTTTCCTCCTCCAATCAACACTGGCATATGGCACAACACATAGTTGACACTATTTCTTCTAATGAAGGTGTTAAATTTGTCAAAACACAATTGGCTACACTGGCACACTCACTAGAATTTCAATAGAATAAACTGCTGAGAAATTTTTATGTGTTACCCAATACGCTTGTAATTACTCCATATGTTATAATATTGACTGGCAACAAGATTGATATGCTTATATTAATGAAAAACGAATACACGTATTATAATTTTAGTAGAAACGTACCACCACGTAGCGGCATCTTGGCTGCACCGCAAAAAATCTCATGAAATCTACAACCAGTTTGCCACATTTGTGGAAAATTCGTTAAACCCAACAAAGGAAAAATGAGCAAAAAGAGTTAGAAGCATAATCCCTATCCAAAATTATTAATGATAATATAGGGCAGCCATACTTTCGGGAACCCAGAGAAAAAGTATGCGATGAAGTTTGGTGCTTTTTTACCTGTGATGTATGTACTGTATGAGAGAGAGAGAGAGAGAGAGAGAGAGAGAGAGAGAGAGAGTTCTGTGATTGCCAAAAGAGCTAACCCTAATCCGGGACAAGGGAAGGAGCTCCAGAGGTGTTTGGTGGTCGCGGAGGCAGCCAATGTATTTTTGTTTTGTTTATATAAACTAGCAGATGAGCACACATTCTATGTGTGTGAATAATTTTAATTTTTGTTTTTTATTAAGAAGTGTAATTAGTTTTTTAAAATTTTAAAAAAAGTATGTGATAATGATGATGAGACAATTTTTCTTAATAAGGACATTTTGTTTTTTTTAATATTACATAATTATTGTTTTGTCATCTTTATGTTAATATTATGTATTAAAAGTGAAGGTAAAATAGAAAAAATAGGGATATGATTGTTATTTTCTCAAAAGATTCATAATTACTGTTTTGTCCTCTTCATGTAAATATTGTGTAGCAAAAGTGGGGGTAAAATAGAAAAAATAGGATAAAAAGGTTGATAATGAGGGTTTTCTTAAAAGTGCTACTAAGTCCACCTCAGTGTTTTATTTCCTCATCCACTTTGAAATGATAATTTGATTGATAGCTTTATTCTTGTAGAAAATGACATTCAAAGACCTAAAGACCACCCAATCATGTCTTGCCACATAATTAGTTATATTGCCAAAAACCTAAAATACATAAATGAGAAAGAAAAAAAAGAGGAAAAAACCTAAAAACCGATCAAATTATGGGGCTGAAAATGGAGGAGTTTCTGGCCTTAGCAAAGAAGACTTAATATGTTGTGAAAGGGTAAAGACCCCTCTTGCAAGTGCCTAGGAGAAGCAAGGTATCGTTCAAAAGCTTTCACTGCTGAGTTTGCTACAACATTAATATTCCTTTGCCGCCAGCAAGAGCTTCCTCTGATGGGTCTTTCCATTCATCAACTACCCAAGCGTAATGGCGGTCGAACAAAAAGCGTTTGGAAGGGGAATTTCACAACGTTGTAAGCTTGAACGGAGAGTGAGGAAGCAGTACCCTCCTGTTTAATGATAATTTTTTTTTAAATAATCATAATTGTTTTAAAGCAAAGGAAAAATTGGAGAATAAATATATAGGGTTATTTTGGAATAATGGTGGGTGGGAAAATAGTTATATGTTTTTTTCATTTGTTATAGGTGGGTGTAAATATAAAATGATTGAGAAAATAAGATATTAGGTGGGTATATCACCACTCTTTCTTAATAATAGTATAGATATATACACTTTCTGTTTTTTCAGGTGTAGTGAAGTAGAGTTGAATGGATATATGCGGATTTCATGTTAAGCCCAAAATAGTATTGAGAATTTGGGTTTTTTTTTAATAGAAAAATAAATTAAAGAGAAGAATCACGAGTACAGTCAGTGAAAGCATCATCTACAAAATTAATTTCTCGAAAAATGTGATTCCAAGAGGTGAACGAAACCTTGCCGCAATGCTCTTGATGTCCTCCTCAATAGAAATGATAGTCCAGCAGCCTTTAATTATATAAATATCAACGGAATGATAAATTTGGTTGTCATATTATCGGGAATGATAAATACATTTTTTTTTTCTTCAAATATATACCAATTTTTAAAAAATTCATCTGTTATTTTTATTTAACGTATTCAATTTTATTATCAAACAAAAAAAAAGTCATAAGAAAATTTTTGTATTTTAAACTAAAAATAGCGTGTGAAAAAATCAAAAAACGCAAATTGAATATCATATATTAGATGACGTGTATGTGTGAAAACAATAATTTTTTCGCTTAACACGACTAGACAGAAGGTAGCAAGGATTATGCTGTAGACGATGTAAGACAAAGAAGTATGGCAATCACTAAGTTAAAGAGGTTCAGTTGCAACTTACTTTAACATCGATTTTGTTTTATTGGAGTAGGTTCGAGTTCCAATCCATAATTTTTGTTTGCGAGATTTGGACTTTGGGTATACTAAATATAATATTAGTTAGAAATTTGAAAGAAAAAAAATTCAACAAAATTGTATTATGACACCTGGTATATCGAGCCGTATTTTCGGCAAAATTTCTCTCAAAATTGGGATGGAAAAGCAATACATGTGAGATGAGTCTCTTTCAATTACATATGCTAATTTGTTTTAAGCTTTTCTATTATGTTGTTGGACACTGATTGCACCTTGTTTTTTTTTTAGGAAACTTTAACGGTACAACTACAAGGGAAATATTGTTGGACACTGATTGTATGATTGTACATGTTTTAGATAAATACAGAGTATATTTTCTCATGTACGTGTCTTTTTTTTCTAATTTAGATTCCTTATTGATATAAATTTATATACTTTTAGTTAGAAACTGTGTTAGGTTGGGTGTTTGAATTGAGTTTTATATGATATTTGAGACACCAAAAAAATATGGTATCAGCAAGGTGTTATAAAAAACTTGCTACAGTTGTCGTCGATATTTGATTTTGATCAGTATAGCGTTTGAAATTTGGATTTTCGTTCATGTTAGCCCATTCCTATTGCTATCTTTCAAATTTTAGTTTACGATTGCTATCTTTCAAATTGTAGTTTACTGATGACTCATGGTTGTCATCGTCATCGTCCATAACCACTACCCTAGAGCTAGAAGCATATAATTGTCGATATTAACCGAAACACATTACTATGTCAATTCCGGCCGTCCCGGATTCTATAGAGTTAGTACTGCCAATTCACAAGCTGTTAAAATCCACTGGTCGGCTAACCCTTTCTGATGTCTGTTATTGGTTCCTTTTCCTCCGTACTACTCAGCATGTCGTTTTTATGCAAATAAATATTAAAGAAAAAAGGAGAGAGATTCTTCGTTAGTCCTCCTCATATAGTTCTCAACTCATGAGCATTTATAGCAAGAAGCTTTGACTTCAGAGTTCAGAATAATTTCTGTGTAAGCTTGACTTTCTTCGATTTTTCGCATTCCGCAGAATTTTACGTACATTTCTGCATAAAAGGGTCACCATGTCTCTTATAAGTTGCAGGCAGGTAACATTTTGTAATAATTTCTATGTGTGTCTCTTCATTTTCATCAATTTTCTGCCTGTTATCTGTGCCCGTCGAGCTAATTCCAAACCTTCACTTTCGTTCGCTATACCTCAGTTCAACCTTGACACAAACATACTCTATGAAGGTGATGCCAGACCTTCATTAGGTTTAGGAATGGTAGAACTCAATACAGTCTCTCAATTGTTCCGAGTGGGACGGTTTACTTATTCACAACCTTTGCACTTATGGGAGTCTGCTAGCGGGTCGCTAACAGACTTCACCACTCATTTCACTTTCATGATTGACACTCTAAACAATAGCAGATGGAGTGACGGATTTGCCTTTTTTCTTGCTCCAGTTGGCTTTCCTATTCCACCTAATTCTGCTGGTGGTAATCTAGGATTGTTCAACAGCAGCACAAATTTTGTGCCATCGAAAAACCAAATTGTAATGGTTGAGTTTGATTCCTTCTCGAATGAGTGGGATCCAACTGTGCCTCATGTTGGGATCAATGTGAATAAGATCTCCTCAATTGTTAGCACCAGTTGGGATTTCGGCAGCAACAGATGGAAGGTGGCTAATGCATGGATAACTTACAATGCTACCACAAAGTACCTCAGTGTATTTTGGACATACAAGGAAAACCCAAATCCTGCTGTTATTGACAGTACTTTTTCTCTTTCGCACCGTATTGACTTACGAGAGGTTCTCCCCGAATGGGTTACAATTGGTTTTTCAGCTGCCACAGGAGTTTGCCCCGAGCGACATGTTATAAGTTCCTGGGAATTCAATTCGCATTTGGATTCCGATGAGATCAGTAAGAAAACCAAGGATACGGAAAGGACGAAGAAATTGTTTATAGCAGCAACTGCTGGTATTACTTTGTTAGTTTTGATGCTTGGTGTGGGTTTGTGTAGGTTGGTTGTAACAAAGCGAATGCGCAAGATCGATGGACTTGAGAGTTACTCCAAGGATGTCATCACCTCCATAAATAAGGATCTCGAGAAACGAGCATTCCCCAAGCGATTTGCTTACAAGGAATTGGATGTAGCCACAAATGGCTTTGCCAGCAATGGAAGGCTAGGCCAAGGAGGGTCAGGACATGTTTACAAAGGAATGTTACAAGATCTAGGCTGCGCTATTGCTGTCAAGAGAATCTTTGCAAAATCTGATTACTATGAGAAGATTTTCATCAACGAAGTCAAGATTATAAGCCGGTTAATACACAGGAACCTGGTTCAGTTCATTGGATGGTGTCACGAAGAAGGCGAATGCTTACTTGTTTATGCATACATGCCTAACAGCAGCCTCGACACACATCTGTTTGGGTCTAAAACAACCCTGCAGTGGGATTTCCGGTATAAGATAGCTTTAGGCTTGGCCTCAGCGCTTCATTATCTACATGAAGATGCAGAGCAATGTGTTCTTCATAGGGATATCAAATCAGCTAATGTATTGTTGGACAAAGACTTCGGTACTAAGCTCGGGGATTTTGGGATTGCTAAGCTCATCGACCCATGTTCCTGGACTCAGACAACAGGAGCTGTAGGGACTTTTGGCTACATTGCCCCAGAATATGCAAGTGGAGGGAAGGCCAGTAGAGAATGTGACATATTTAGTTTCGGAGTTGTGGCATTGGAAATCGCTTGTGGACGGAGGACTTACCAGGACGGGGAACTTCATGTGCCGCTTGTCAGTTGGGTTTGGCAACTCTACCTTGCAGGAAATATTCTCTTTGCAGCTGATGAGAGATTGGAAAGAAAGTTCGATCAAATTGAAATGGAATGCTTGTTGATTATCGGATTATGGTGCACTCATCCAAACAACAAGGAAAGGCCAAAAGCCGGACAAGTGATGAAGGTTCTTCAGCTCGAAGCACCATTTCCGGAACTTCCACATGACATGCACGAATCTGATCATCACCTTCCTCATCATCATATATGATTATGGCACAACCGATAATAGTTTTTCTTGTTCTTTCTTCTCTTTTCAATATACAACCACAAGTAGTTGTATTTTCAAGCCATGGTTGTGTGATTCATACAACCGATCTAGCTAGTAGCCTTCTAGGATTCATAAAGCCATGGTTTTTTTCTCTTCTTTCTGCTTGTTTCCATCAGCGAAGACTTGACTCAAAATCAAGGACAATGACATTGTAAGATTCATACAGCTGACGCTTTGTTGTTGTTGGTTGTATGATTTAGAATCCAATAAACTCAGAATTTGCACCGTTGATTTCGGGTGGTAAATTTTTTTTTTTTTTTTTTTTTTTGGTGTTGTATGCATTTTCTCAAACATTGGATCCATGGAAAAACACATCGATACGTCCGTAACCCTGCAGCAGAATGCAGCACATCATTGGTCTTGGTCGGCTGATTTCTGGATATATTCTTCGTCGGCCGCTAAGACATAATTAAAACAAAACTCGCAAATTCTCAATCATTATATACTTCTCACCTAGCAGGCCTTAGCCGTCAAAAATCAGAAAACATATTAACTGAACCCATGTAAAAGGATTTTTTAAAAATAAAATTGGGTCTATAGAGTATAGGGATTCCTTTGAGTAAAACTACTTGGGAGTGAAATGGTTCAGATTTGACTCACACATATGATTAAGGTGTATAATATTTACGTTTAATTTGATACCTAATTATGGTTAACCTATTGTGTGACTTTGTCCAATTTCGCTTCCCATTAAATTAGAAGATCCACACCATTGTTGTATAACAAAATAAAAATTATCAAGAAGGGACACTTTGGATGCGGTCCCTAACTACCAATGTTCTTTGACTGAAACCTTGGTGACTTTTAGTTTTTGATCGAAGTTCCTGACATTAATGTAATAATTAATGTATTTCTATGTAGGTTATTATATTTTTAAATTAAAATTGAAATTTGTAGTTATTTATATTAATTCCATAATTTTTGGGATTAAAATATTAAGGATGAATTATACTCTCCAATATATTGTGTGTATATAAATATACATACATACATACACACACACACACACACACACAACACACATACACATACACACACATATACATGGGTATGTTCATCAAAACTAACCAAAAAAATTATTGTACCAAAGCATGGGTACATTTTTCAAAAGCACAAAAAAAAAAAAAAAAAAAAAAAGATATTGGGCATAATAACATTATTAGATTTCTTCTATTAAACTTGACATGGATACATTCTCAAATCAATGAAATAGAATGTACCCATATAAATTTAAAAAATGGATTAGAGGTTGAATGAAATTTATATAAAAAATAGGTACATTTTAAATTAAAAAAGGGTACATTTTTAACAAATTGGTATATTTAAGAATGGATACATATAAGATTAAAAAATTGAAATTTTTTTTTTTATAAAAATTTAATGGGTACAAACTTATTCTAATTTTATTTTTTATATTTGGGAAATGTTTGAATTGAAAATTATTTAGGAGTTTAATAAGGGTGTGAGTATTAAAACTCTAAATCAATTACTAATTTTTAAAAAAAAAAATTATGTAACTTACATGTAATTCATTAATATAGGGGCTTTGATCAAAATCTAAAAACTGATAAGATCTTAGTCAATGAACATTAGAAACTAGGGTCTGGAAACTAATTTTTCCTATCAAGAATTAGCTTACTCCCATTCTTGTGGAAATAACTGAATAAGGTGGAAGTTGGAACCTCCTATTATCAAAAAGCGTTTCCCAAGGTCTTGGTTTTTGACTGTCTTGTGCGAGTTTAGAGAGTAAGACTACTATGGTAGACCAATGACCAAGCCTTTTGTGTAGCTCGACTCGACTAATCCTTCATATTCATTTTCTTAAAAATTAAAAAATTAAAAAAAAATAAAAAAGAAAGAAGACATATTGCATGAACAAAGAAAATTTCTAACCCAACACTGTCTTTTATTTATTTATTTTATTATTATTAGGAGGAGAAAGAGAGGATTCGAAACTATTACAATAGTATAGGATTTGTGAGAATTTCGAACGCGGGGTGGAACCAACACCCTATCCACTAGGTATACCCCTTTTATTTTTAGGGGAAACTTGAAATAAGTCCAAATTTGTAAGCAATTACTAGATATAGTCCAATTTTATTTAATTATTGGTTTAAGTCCAGTGACTCATTGTCCACGTCATTTTATTATCATTTTTTGTCAAAATTACCCCTCTATTAACATTATCTTTTAATTCTAGATTTACTTGTATTATAAAATTAATTATAATTGATTATTTATCATTAAAGTAATCCCATAATTGTAGGATTAGTTTGAAATAATATTATCTCTTCTTCCTCATAACTCCCCTACAAACAGTATTATTTTTTATGCGTGGTGATCTTCTTCCTCCTTGGAACCCATAACCATGTGTGTTCATGTTGGAACATTTATACACAGGGCTAGGAAGAAAGCCTTCTAAACCATAACCGTGGGTGTTGATGTGTACATATAATTGTAGGCTCTCACTATTAATTTCTTTCTTAGTTTTTTGTTTGTTTATATGAACTTTTCTTTTTATAAGTAAAAACGTTATAGCAAATGCACTTTATTTATTTTGTTTATATACCTAATACATAGGTAGACGTAGAAAGTAATTTTGTCTTTATATAGAGTAAGTAGAATATATCTGCTTTATAGGTATAAAGTAGTATAATTGATTATTTATCTTTAAATAATCCCCTACTTGTAGAATTAGTTTTAAAGTATATCTCTTCTTCCATAACTCTCGTATACAATTTGTGCTGTGTTCTCCGATCCCCTTCCTTCTTGTTCATTCTTCTTCTTTCAAGCTCTTATGATTTCTTCCTCCTTTTTGAAATACAAGGTAACAATTTCTAATTTTTTTCGGTTGTATAGAACTTTGAAGTATGCGAATACACCAACAAAAGGTGGGTTGATGTACGTGGTTGGTTTTGGTTTTGTAGCATCAAATCTTGCATCTTCCTACTTTTCATCCCCACCAGGTCCTCCCACAATAGCACTAGTTAGGTCATTTTGATTGGGAACATTGCCATGAAAATGAGTTTCATGCGTGCACTATTAATTTCTTCCTAATTTTTAGTTTGAACTTGGATTATACATATTTTTCTTTTCAACCTTTATAGGAAATGCATTGCTTTGTTTATCTACCTGTATTATATATTTTTGTAATGAATCTATTTGTATATTTTGTTTATTCTACCTGTGTTATAGATTAATTGTATTTTATCTACCTATATATCACAAATTTTTCTATCTCAAATTAATTGTGTTATCTACCTATACGATATGTTTTTGCTCATTAGTCTATCTATATATCACATATTATTTTGTGTTATCTATCTATACGATAGGCTTTTATTCATAGTCTACCTATATCATAGATTAATTAATATTATCTACCTACATCACAAATTTTTTATGTACCTCGACAACGTTTCTTTTAATTTTTCATAAACTTACAAGATTGGTTGTAATGTGTTTTTAAACTGTTTTTAATTAGAAAACGGGTAGATAAAGGTATTTGAAGCTTCAAATTTTTAAAATTTTAAATTCAAAAATAAAGAATTTAAATATTTTTTATTTTCAAGGGGCAAATTAGGTGTAATAAAAAATCAAATAAAATTGGACCCAATCTGAAAACTGGTGAATTCTTTGGACCTGGATCAAATTGCCCCTTTATTTTATATTAATAAATTCGTCTTGTACCATTGAGGTTTTTTTTTTTTTTTTTTTTTTTTTTTAACAAAAAAACCCTATTCAGTAGGATATTATACAAATATTAACATGAAGATTAAAAAACACAATGATTTTACAATGTAGTTTGGTCGATCCATGTACAAATTTATCGATTCACAGGTTCAAAACTAGAAATTAAATATCCTTGAAAGGAACCAGTTGGTGTTGAGGCCGCAATGGATGATCATGCATGTCAGGTGGAAGTTCTGGAAATGGTGCTTCGAGCTGAAGGATCTTCGTCACTTGTCCCGCTTTTGGTCTTCCCTCGCTGTTGGTGTGAGTGCTCCATAATCCAACAACTAACAAGCATTCCATTTCGTTTCGATCAAATTTCACTTCTACTCTTTCGTCAGCTACACATGAAGATTTCCTGCAAGGTAGAGTTGCCAAACCCAACTCACAAGTGGCATGTAAAATCCCCCGTCCTGGTAAGTCCTTCCACACGCAAGTTCCAAGGCTACAACATCAAAACTAAACATGTCAGATTCCTTACTGGCTCTCCCTCCGTTTGCATATTCAGGGGCAATGTATCCGAAAGTCCCTACCACTCCTGTTGTCTGAGTCTTGAACCCGGGATCCACGAGCTTTGCAATCCCAAAATCGCCAAGCTTAGTGCTGAAATCATTTTCTAACAATACATTAGCTGATTTGATATCCCTATGAAGAACGCACTGTTCTGCATCTTTGTGTAGATAGTGAAGAGCCGCTGCCGAGCCCAAAGCTATCTTATACCTGAAATTCCATTGCAATGTTGTCCTCGAGCCAAATAGATGCGTGTAGCATGTATGCATAAACAAGTAAGCATTCGCTTTCCTCATGACACCATCCGATGAGCTGCACCGGATTCTTATGTATTAAGCGGCATACTATCTTCACTTGGTTGATGAAGACATTCTCGTAATGCTCAGATTCCGCAAAGATCCTCTTCACAGCGACCGTGAAGCCTGGATCTTGCATTGTTCCTTTATAAACTTGTCCTGACCCCCCGCGACCCAACCTTCTGTCATTTGCAAATCATGGTGGCTGCAACTAGTTCTTGGTAAGAAAATCGCTTTGGTAAGGCTAATCTCTGAAGATCCGAACTTATTGAGCACACTGATCTGGGGTACTTGTGAAGCTGAGTCTTGTTTCTCCGTTTTCTCACCACCAAAACCCAAGATATGACCAAACCAAACATCAGTACGAAAAATACAAAGAAAGAAGAGAACGACCTCAATCAAGAATGCCTTCTTTTTTCTGTTTATCACATACCAATCCATGTTTGAACTGAAATCCCACGTATATAAAAGATGCCTCTCAGGATATAATCCAGTAGAAGCTGAAAAACCAATTGTAACCCACTCTGGAAGAACATTTCGTAAGTCAATATTGTATGAAAGAGTAGGAAACAAAAAAATAAAACATTACATGCGGGTTGTATGTCAAAGTCATACTGAGGTTTTTCGAGGTCGCATTATAAGATATCGATACATAAGCTGCTTTCCCATCATTGCTGATCAGATTCCAACTGGCATTAACAGCTGAGGAGATTTGATTTATATTGATTCCAACATGTGATCCCGGTGG